GAGGGTCAAGATGCCATTCTCCTTTTTTGATTTTAAATATTCAGGAAAAAGAAAAGATCTTCCTAAGGCTCTTCGTGCGGCAGGTGCTGGGGGCAGTGAGGGCAGGTGCTGGGGCAGTGGGGGCAGGTGCAGGGGGGAGCAATGCTGGGGGAAGTGGGGGGAGATGCTGGGGCAGTGGGGGCAGGTGCTGGGGAGCTGTGGGAGGAGGTGCTGGGGCAGTCGGGGGAGGTACTGGGGGCAGGTGCGGGAGGCAGGTGGGGGGAGGAGCCAAACTGCCTAGGACAGACAGCTTTTAATCTGAAAGAGGGCAAAATATGTTCCCCACCTTCCGTCTAAATTGACATTTACTTAGATATCCCAAGTCTACCTGTTTCACAGAACACAAAATAGGGGAAGACATACCCTGAAACTTTCTGTTGGGGAGAAAGATGACAGCCCAGAGCTGCTGTTAGTTTTGTCTTAAAGAAGCCATCGAAATAGGGTCACTTCTGTGGAGTATAGATCACGGGGGTCAGGGAAGTTAAGTGGCGTTAAGACTAGTCACCGTGAGATGCCCTTAAGGTGGGGGCTGGGACTAAGCAGTAGAGTTCATGAAATCGTGTGGGTGCCTGTTCTGTGGACCTCAGACAAAGGAAGGTCTCAGGCACAGTCCTCCCGGCTGTCCTGCCAAGAAAGGCCCTTTCGAGGGGCGGGAGTCCGGCTCCCTGACAGCAGGAAAGGCGGTCCTCCAGTAACAGGGAGGGTTCACAGGAGACAGTGGACCCGGGACTTATGTGAGTGTCACAGCGCCCCAGGTGTAACCCACAGACTGCCTGTCCCTTCCTCGTGCAGATGCCTCCTCTTGGCCTCTTTCTCAGCCGCCCTCTACCTGCTCTGGTTCACGGGTGCTCCTCTGGGTTGGCATTCTCTGGCCCAGCTCCTTTTCTTTTCCACTTTAACCTTGTGTTCATTTACATCTTTCCTGCCTCTTCCTGGACTTGTGCAGCAGCTGCCTAAACTTTCCCATACTCCTGTCATCTTCTCCCCGCAATGGTCTTCTCTTAGCTCTGTGTAAACCTGGGGTCTCGCCGAACCGGTTTGGCTCAGTGGATAGAGCGTCGGCCTGCGGACTGAAGGGTCCCGGGTTCGATTCTGGTCAAGGGGCATGTACCTTGGTTGCGGGCACATCCCCCAGTGGGAGTGGTGCAGGAGCAGCTGATCGATCTCTCTCATCGATGTTTCTAACTCTCTATCCCTCTCCCTTCTTCTCTGTTAAAAATCAATAAAATATATATTAAAAAAAAATAAACCTGGTGTCTCCCGCTGATGGCCCCAGGGCCAAGAAAGGCAATAAGAGTGAATGAAAAAGACTTAGTTGAAGCGTGAAAAGAAAAAGCTTCCACACCTTGTCTAGCGGATTCAAGCTTCATAAAACACTGCAGATGAAGCAGCACCCCCGAGGGTCCCGGACACCAACACTTGGTAAGATTGAACTTCCTCACTACGCTATTGTTTGTCTTGAAAGTCTCTTCCCTCCATGCCTTTCAACTGAAGGAAAAAGTGTGTTCAGCACGGCTCGAGATACAAAAGAGATCTCGAAACACATCTGCCTTCTATGGATCGTCTCATCGTGCTTCTATATTCGCAGCATGGAATGTAGTTAGATGATCCTATATAATAGCCTCCCAGGATGCCTGGCGTGCTGTCACCTCTGACCTTTACCTCTGTGTCGCTCTGCTCTGGGATGTGAACTCCTTTCATACGTTTACTTCCTCCCAACGCTCAAGATCTAGGTCGTGCCTTTTCAGCAGGTAGAGGGCCAAGCCCAGTGCCGGCTCATGATCAGTTCTCAGTAAATGCTAACGGCTGCCATCATTCCCTGATCACTGAAGTCCATAATGTTTATTCTCTTCGCACTACGCCTCTGAACTTCAAACAAGGGAGTGGCTTCAGCACCATTCCTCCTAAAGTCCTAGCTGTAACCTTTTCTTGTTATAGAACACACACACACACACACAGAGTCTGCACTAAATTGCAGAAGGGGAGGATCCTGTTGAATACTTTTTTGTGTTCTCAACAAAGCATACTTTACAGACTAAATAACAGCCACCTCTACACAGTAAGACTTTTTTTAAAAAATCTTTTACTGAGTTCACTTTGAAAAATAAATAACTTGAAGGGGAAAAGCTATTTGTCTGTATGTAAATTGCTTATCTGTGTATGTATTCATTTACTCAGCGTATTTATTGAGCACCTACTACCTCTGCCTCGTCCTCTTCCCCTTTGGTAACCACCATACTGTTTTCTCCTTCAATGAGTTTTTGTTTGTTCTGTTCATTCCTTTGTTGCTTTCTGTGAATAACCCACAGATGAGCTAAATAATATGATTCTTGGCCTTTTATGACACAAAAGAAATACTGCCATCTGTGACAACATGGATGCATCTTGAGAGTGTGTATCATGCTGAGCAGTAGGTCAGACAGAATAAGCAAAGTTCTAATAGTCACTAAAAGTAAGATCTTCTTCACATTAGGAAGATGGCAGGAGGTTTCATCTTGAGTTTGGTTCAAACTCTGCCAGTCGCTGCTGCAACAAGTTGAAGCATGTCATCTAGGCTCTCTAAGCTTGGCTTCTTCACCTGCAGAGGGGGCTGCTAATGCTGCATTAGAGTCATAAGGATTACATGTGACATATTATATAAATGTCTTTATGTGACATATAGTTTCACTAAATTATAGCTTAATTTTTATTTTTATTGATTTTACAGAGAAAGGTAGAGGGAGAGAGAGATAGAAACATCAATGATGAGAGAGAATCATTAATCAACTGCCTCCTGCATGCCTCACACTGGGGATAGAACCGGCAACCTGGGCATGTGCCCTTGACCGGAATCGAACCTAGGACCCTTCAGTCTGCAGGCCGACGCTCTATCCACTGAGCCAAACCAGCTAAGGCTACAGCCCATTTCTAAAGGACCAGGCAGAGGACTCACGGGGTCCTTTCAGTGCAGAAGTATAATGGAAACTTCACATGTGCTCCTGCAGTGAGATTACTGGCACTGAGGCTGTTCGTAATGGGCTAATATGACTTAGGAATGTTAAAAAAAAAAAAAGAAAACGCCTGTGGAATGTGCAGTCACTGTTGGTAAATGTACGGCTTTATTTTGTGGAGAAAATAGTCTATGAAAACCGCATTCTTTTTACATTTACTAAAAGCAGAAACGTCATCGGCAGTAGTGATGCACTCACTGAGTTAATTTCCGTTCTCCTCTTGCTCTGAAGGAAGCCATTAGGACTTGCTTCCCTCTCCGTTTCCGCGGGAGCTGGTCAAACCACTTTTCTGTGTTTGCAGGGGCTCTTAGCGTTGCTTTCTAAAGCGAGATTGGAAAGGCTGCCGCTCGCATATTTGTACTTACCATGTTAATGTCACCAAAGTCCTTTGGTTTTCTCACAAAGACGTCATCTGAAATACACATTTCCTGTAAAAAGAACAAATTGCTAACATCGATTTTGTTGTTGTTGAGATAATGGATTCTGTGGGCCCGCGTTCAGGAAAGCCCCGTAGAGGACTGTAATGAGTTGTTTGGCCCTAAAAGCCTTGAGTTATAAAAAGAACTGATAGAATCTGTAATATGTATGCCTAGCACATTATCGGGCTGGAACGGGAGCTCATATCAGTGTGTTATGCCATCGATCAGCTAAATGACATGACAAGCTTGCAGTCCTCACTCACAGTGACCTGATGCCAGCAGCCGCTGACCTCTGCAGTGTTAGGCCCACAATGCCCACCTATGCCATCACCCACGGCTGCCCAGGCAGGCGGCTGGCAGGCATCGGATCACTCTGTGAACCAGCCTGCTGCGTAGGGGACCTTGACAAGGCCTCCTGCTTCCCGGCCTGGCTCCACCAAGGATCCTTCCTCATCCTCCCTGAACTTCAGAGCCTTGTCACTCCTAAATGGCGAAGGTTTTGGTTTTTGTCTTTGTTCCCAAGTAAGGGGTTGGGTGGAGGCAGGAGAGAGGAATCCCAAGTGCAAACCAGAGGAAACAGGGAACGGGGCTGGTGGGAGATGCTAGACAGCAGCCTTTTTTGAAGGGTCAAATAGTAACTCTTTTAGACTTTGGGGTCTGTTGCAACTATTCAGTTCTGCCATGGTGGCCCAGAAGCAGCTGTAGGTGAACGGGCTGTGTCCCAATTGACTTTCATTGCATTCAAATAGGCGGAGGACCTTTGGCCGACTGGCCATGGTTTGCCATCCTGTGCACACTACCAAGTAACAAGCCCCGAGTAGCTGGCCCTGAGGGAGTCTGGAAGAGAATCTTTGGAATACACTGAGCATCGAGCATTCCTTAGCAAATGCGTCATTTCCCAGAGGAAAGGAGGGCAGCACTCATTGTGATGTTGAAAGTGGGTATCGAATACATCTTAGGTCTCATGTGTTTATTTCTTGGAAATTACCGACGAACGAAGAAAGCAGTGGTAGATTCTCAGCCTCTGTTATAAAGCAAAACCCAGCACCAATGACTAAGCAACGAGGGCTCGTGAGTGACCATTTTCCAGGGTACTGAGCAGGGAGGGGGAGCTCCGAGGCCAGGTGAAGGGGCCTGGGCTGGCCTCAGCCCGCTGCCCTGTGCTGCCTGGCCCTGAGCCAGTTCGCAGCTTCAGAGAAGCCGAGTCAGACGTGCTTGGCCGTCTTCGGCGTAGAACCGGACATATTCTGTTCGATTTTGACGATGAACTGTGATTTTAAATCCATAACGGAAATTCAAATGCCCATTGAATTGAATCAGCCTTGTTACCGTCACATGTAAAATGCCATGGATGTTTCCCACCCGGATTTAACAGGTGGTTCCTGTCTCCCCTGCCAGGTTGTTCCTGCTTCGGGACTGGTCTCCATATTAAAGAAGAGGAACGACGCCGTGGGCGACCACCCTGCCCAGATGCAGCAGAAGCCGCCCAAGCGGAGGGTGCGGTTCCAGGAGATAGACGATAACCTGGACCAGGGTGGGTACCGCTCAGCCCTGAGCCTGACACAGGGCCCTCCCAGTGTTTGCCGAGAGTGAGTCAGTGCCCGATGGAAGGTGACGGGATTTGTAAAAGGAAATGTGGGCGCGGTTGTTTTATCTTCTAGAACAGCAGTTCTCAACCTGTGGGTCGCGACCCCTTTGGCGGTCGAACGACCCTTTCACAGGGGTCGCCTAAGACCATCCTGCATATCAGATATTTACATGACGATTCATAACAGTAGCAACATGACAGTGATGAAGTAGCAACGAAAATAATGTTATGGTTGGGTCACAACATGAGGAACTGTATTTAAAGGGCCAGAAGGTTGAGAACCACTGTAGAAAGAAGCAGAGAACTGAGCTGTCATCGGTTCTTAAACAATTCCTAGGCATTGTGTTTGCTCAAATCAGTGAACCGATTGCAAAATTCAACTCCTGGCCTCCCGACCCCCCAGGCAGTGCTCGACGTTCAGAGCTCATTTCCATTTCCTTGTTTAGGGTTTCGTTGGGTTTTAGTGAGTCTGCTATTTCTGTCCGCTTTTCAGCAGCAGTTACTTGTCCTATCTCATGTGTGTGGGAAACGTTTCTGGATTACAAGTTTATTCTCTTCGGTGATTTCTTGACTCCATAGAAGGAAGTGTCTCTTAAGGGCAGCAGTTTAACACTGTGCTATTGTTGGACTTTCCTCCTGGGCCACTAGTAACTAGGTAGTTGCTAGGGTTTCCCTAAGGCAAATAAGAGTGAGTGGAAAGATAGCCAAAAACCTGTGTGTATGCTTCTCCTGTTTATAAAATAACAGTGTGCACATGTAGATATACTTGCTAAGTATGGCATAAAGTGATGGAGGTTTCTAGATTTCTACAATTAGGAGCCTTGGAAATAATCTGTTCCCACCCCTCATTTTAGCTCTGCACCTTGCTCGTAACTCTCACTTTCTCCTCCAGATAAAATGCGTAATTCTCGTTTGCTCTCATGGGCCCTGAGTGGTCCCGCTCACCAGAGGAACCCTGGGTTCAGAGCTCACATTCCCGTTTCACTTACTGGCCCTCTCATCTTAGAACAGGTCACTTCGCCTGTGCTCAGTAGCTACGTGTGCCTCTACACAGTGTTTCAACACATATAGATAAAGCAAATACATGTTTATAGGTAAACTATTTATATGACTAGGAAGGAAAATATGGAAAGATACATAGATTATTAACATAGATAAGGTGATAGTAGGGATTCATGCCAAAAGAAGAAAAGATGGTAAAAATACTGACCTGACAAAACACACACACACAAGACTGATATGATCTGTATTTGTATAAAATGTATTTGCATATCTGCTATCTATATAAAACCCTAATATGCAAATCAACCAAATGGTGGAATAACCCATCACTATGACGTGCACTGACCATCAGGGGGCAGAGACTCAACACAGGAGCTGCCTCCAGCCCACAGGCCCCGACCAGCAGTGGCAGCGGGGGGGCGGGGCTGGCGAGCAGGCAGCGCCAGGCCAACCAAAGCAGGTGCCAGTGGGGGCCCCCTGGTGACCCCGCCGGTTGCCCTGCAGATCAGCCCTGATCGCCAGCCAGGCCTAGGAACCCTACCCTTGCACAAATTTCGTGCACTGGGCCTCTAGTATACATATAAACTATTAAATCTATTTAACTACTAAAATCTATTAAACTATAAATTTGTAAATCACAGAACAATATGATAACATAATCCTATTTATGTAAAAATCCTGAAACCCTCTGTGTTTGATCTGGAAGGATACACACCAAAATCACCAGTGTTCGCCTCTGGGACAGGGGTGTGATTGGGTAAGAGAGAAAGGGAGGGTCTCTTAGACTTAGGTATTTGAATTTTCACAGGAAATAATATATCCACATATGACTGTAAAGCCCTCTCAATATAATTTGCTAATGATGAGAAAACTCAGACAGTAATGAAGAGTATAAGTTCTTTTTTCATTGGTTTCCCCCGAGTATTGATTGAAGTTTCTTATTATCCTTTTGAGACACATTCCCTATATGCATCTGCAAATGTGCTATATACACTGACATGTGTGCCTTTTTTTTTTTAACACAGGTGGGTTCATTATGTACTATTATGTCACTTAATTTATTGATCTTGGACATCTTCCTATGAAAGAACATATTAATTTACTTCATACAATTGCATAGTATTCCATTATATGAATGTTCCATACTTTAACTGCTCCATTGTAACTGAAACGATTAGGCTCTCCTCAACTTTTTGTTGTTACAAACATGCCTGTAAATATGATACAGTGTGCTGTGCGGATTTGTAGGCTAATTCCTGGAAGTGATGTGCTGGGCTAAATGACCTGAGGCAGCCTGGTCTACACCTGTTGTCCCAGCATTGTCTTCAGTTAACATTCTTTTTCACTCTCAAAAGTGTCCCAATATGGCCCTAGCTGGTTTAGCTCAGTGGATAGAGCGTCAGCCTGTGGACTGAAGGATCCCGAGTTTGATTCTGGTCAAGGCACATGCTCCGGTTGTGGGCTCGATTCCCAGTAGGGGGCATGCAGGAGGCAGTCGATCAATGATACTCTCTCATCAATGATACACCATCATGCTGATTATAAAACTTTTTAGTCCTTTCTAAATATTTTTAAATTTTCCTTTAATAATGAATATAGGCCATGAAGATGGCCTATATTTCTTCAATATAGAAAGACTGACATGGGCATTTTCATTAAAATCCAACCTGCCAGCCTGGCCTGCGTGGCTCAGTGGTTGAGCATGGACCCAGGAACCAGGAGGTCACTGTTTGATTTCCGGTCAGTGAGGGCGTGCAGGAGGCAGCCAATCAATGATTCTCTCTCATCATTGATGTTTCTGTCTCTCTCCCCTGTCCCTCTCTGAAATCAATAAAAATATTTTTTAAACTGCCGAGTTATTAAGCAAAATACAAAGAAATCACTGTGTTAGCTAGAACTTCACGATTCCACTAAACAATAAGAATGAAATTGAGTATTAAGATGCGAGAGTGATCCCTCCCAAAGTCGTTTTTTATTGTTTAATGCCAAATTGACGTTGCTTTAAGGTGGTCCCATGATGCGAGCGCCAAGATACTGTAATAGTGAGGCTATAATGTGTATCTAAACAATGCTGTGAGCACATCAAAGAAGCACTGCCTTTCGCTTTCCTTCTTTGTTCATGGGAGTGATCACATTCATGGTGCAGGGGAGCTGCTGTCACACTGAGCGTGGACAGGCACAGGAGCGTGGACAGGCACAGGAGCGTGTCCTGTACGGCAACTAATCAGCAGGGCCCTGTAGAGCGGAGGCGCCTGGCTTGGCGTCCGTGCCTCTGTCCGAGAGGACTATTAGGAACACCTGTCTCTTAATCGGAGAAGGCCGTGGGCGCGCGGATTTTCCGTTCGGGCCACTGAACCTCCCTCTGTTCTGTTTGCAGATGAAGCTGGGAGTGGCTCCTGCATTTTGCTGGTCTTGCTGTGCGTCGCCACGGTTCTGCTCAGCGTGGGAGGAACCGCCCTGTACTGCGCTTTCGGGGACCTGGACTCGCCCGTGTGCACGGACTTCGCCGACAACGTGGACTTCTACTACACGAAGCTGCTGCGGGGCGTGGCGGAGCTGAAGCACTGGGTCCGCCTCTCCTAGCGCAGCAGCGAGGGCCCCAGGGGAACTCACTCTCTAGGCGGCTCTGATTTGGGGGGTTGTGTACCGCGCCCCGCCCCGTGAGGAGCCGCGGACGTCAGCAACTGCAGCTTCAGCAGGCGGCCCAGGGAACCTGCGCGTCGTGGGGCAGGAATGGCCTGGCCAGCCTCCTCGCGGCCGCCTCCGCGGGCTGCTGCGCTGCGTTAAACGGGAGTGTTGCAGCCACGCGTCCTTAGCTTCTTGTCAAGCTGACACTTAATGACACTTGGTTTCCACTAGTTGGTCCAAAGACGTCGCTTCCAGCCATCACGCAATAAGTGTGGGTGTGATCGAAAGGAGGTACCGATGTGTCCATGTCTTTTTTCAGTTGGCCTGGAGCGCTGTGTAAGCAAGGCTTTGCGCGTCATTGACACGTTCTGGTCTCCGTTTGTGGAATGGTTGGGTGCACATGCGTGTTTGCGTGGGTGCGTGCATGTGTTTCAGTTAATCATGAGCAAATACCCAACGCAAAATAACAAAAAAATGACCTTTATTCTTTTAACTTGACTATAGATGTGCAGGCACAAATCTTTAGAGCAGGTTTCACTGTGGAACCGAGGAGATGTAGAGATGTTGGCCCTGGAAGGAGGAGCTGTGACAGATCTGCAGCAATTGATTAACAAGCCAGGAATTAACTACAGACCTGGAGGTAACATTCAAGAGCTCCCTCTGAGTCTCAGGCAGGCCGTTTCAGCATGGATTCGAGGCCTCGTGGAGTATGATGAATGCTGGACGCAATTCAGCAAACGCTTACTGAGCACCTATTAGGTTCTGAGTCTAAGAACTGAAATACAAAGATAATGAGATACCAGTTCCTGCCCTAGAGGTTTTCATTCTGGCCTTGTGTTAAACAGATACTTTGGCAAATGAAATTAAATCACCGTACAACTCAGTGTTAGCAGGTCATGCGTTCAGAGGTTTGAACGTGCATTCATGTCACAGGCTCGAGTTAGTCCTTTTATGGGGTCATTAAGCAGAAAGTCAATCATGTCTTAAATAAGCAAATGTCTGAATTTTGTTTAAATCTGTCAGTTACGCGGCATTTCCTTTTCTGAGGTCTATCATTTACGAAGCCTTGCTGTGGCTTTTTATAACATAGGCAGCATTTTAAAAGAAACAGAACATGAATTATAGTTTTTTAGCGAGTGATCATTACTTCATGTTTTTCTGTCAGAATCACGTGAAAGAAAAAGGGAGAAGTTACTTCCTAGTTGTTACTGGCTGGTACAGTACCCCTTCATGTTCTGCTTATTTATTTAGATTATGTGAATTTTGAAGGGCTTTTTATATGTGATGAAAGTGTGTTTTTGAGCATGCATTCGGTTTTCCCAATGTAGATATTTAATTACTGTGTACTTAGTATTTTGATTTCCTATAAATTCAGTGTCTCATGTTTTTAGGCTTGTTTCTTTTTAAATTGATGTTTGATTTTCACTCATAATACTGTTTGACTTGTCTCATGTCACCATAAACTAATATTTTCAAGGATTATAGATCAAAGATATTTATTTAGAAGTATACAAGATACTGAAATTTAGATTCCTTATACTTAAGGCTGATTTTATTAGAAGGTTATTTTAATGTTCTATTATAAATTTTAAGAATTTGTATTCAAACTGTATGTAAAATATGTAAATGTCAACGGTACTATGTTAGATGGTTCTATAAAAGACATTCACCAAGTCTGCCATGAGGGGCGCCCCCGTCATGGACAACCCTCTTCCGTTTCTCCCTCTTGGTTCCTAGTTATGAGAATTTGATGAGTCTGATTTCTGACGGTTTTATGTGAAGATAAATCAAAACTTCCTCCTGCTCTCCCCTTTGAGTCGCTATGGAAGTCCTACGTACCCCGAGTGTCTCATTTGCCTGGAGGCGCCAGGGCCTCTACTCCACACTGAAGGTTTCCTGGAAACCTTGACGCTGAGCAGAGAGGACTGAGGTGACACCTGGGTCCTCGGGGGTCCAGTGGAGTCTCAGAGGAACCAGGTGTGTCCTCAGGCTTCCCGGGGAGGGTGAGGTGAGCTCAGGAGCTCAGTGTGGTGATGTCTTGACTTAAAATGGGCATGAAAATCGCGACTGGAACCAGTAGGGCCCCGCTTAAAACGTGACAGTCATTCATTGCATGAAGTGGAGTCATTCCATCTGGTGGTGAAAGCATTGTGATCGCACATGTGAGAACTCACCCAGCTTTACCCTGATGTGATCTTTCCTGCCATGTGAAAGTTCGGACAACTGCTTGTAACTACTCTTCCTTCAGAACTGTATTGGAGGGTGACCTGTTAAGCTTGTAATTTAAAATCTTCACCAACAAAGTGTCTCAGAGCGTTTCTTTGGGTCCGGGGTGCTGGGAAACACTGCTTCAAAGTAAAATCCTTCAGAAGTTGGCCTGGCCCCACAGGAGACAGCGGTCTGTTTCGGGAAGTCCAGTAGGTCCCCTCCTAAGGGCTCCTGCTCTCAAAGGCCCTCCCGGTCTGCCTGGCATGGTAGCTGGAAGTTGCTCTAGAAATCCATTCCTTTTCAAATAAATAAATAAGTAATCCACTCCTTTAGATTTAAAAATCCGAGTCCTCAGGAGGTTTCCTTTACGCTGTGAATGTGTGTATTATGCGGAGAGGACTTGAAGGGAGGATATGGGGGAAAGGGGTAGGAACTGAGAGGTAAAGAGAGAAGGTGGGACAGAACAAGCCCTTTAGCTATTAACCTGTTCGGCTAAAGCTGGCTTTGTGGCATTTACTCCCAGTCCATAGGGAGACTGAATTTTTGTCTTCCCATTCACATGACATAGGTAATTATATTTGGGTTCATTTCTATTGGCTCAGTTCATGTTAACCCACCCTGTGTCCTTCTTTCTGCAGCGTGATAGAGTTTTCACGTTTATTCCTCTGATGCTTAATCAGCGAGCACACAGTCCCTCAAGTCCAGGTCTTGTAACTCCAAAATCCAGTGCTGGGCCCATTGTATCATGTTGCCTCATCCTCAGAAAGAGTTAGTGACCTGGGGTCTGTCTGGTACTGTCTGCTATTCTAACAACTTCAAAGAGAATTATTGAGCTTCATGTCCTAAGCTACTGAGCTGAAAACTTCCTTAAGGAATTCTAGTAAAAGGTAGACACCCCTGAGTTCAGGCACCGAGTTCAAGCCCGTGGACATCTCTCCCCCTGGTTCTGGAGAGCGTTACCCCCTGACTCACAGGTTCACGAGGCAAGACACCCATCGTGTGTTGAAGATGCATTTGACACTGCCCTCCAGCAGCGATTTTCAACCTTGTTCACCTCACGGCACATAAAGTAATTACTGAAATTCGGCAGCACACCAAAAAGCATATTTCTTGACGATCTGACACAAAAAAGGGTATAATTTTTATTGATTTACAAAAATACATATAATAATAGTAATTACGCTTTTTGCTCCAAAGTGGCCTTTTTTAAAATCTGGTGCCTCTACTTGTATAGAAGGATTTCTGGTACCAAGAATTAACCAGTCAGACGCAGCCTTATTATGTGATGTGTCCAATAAGATTCAACTCTTATTAAATGATCTATATATTTATGGTTCAATGCAAGGCATTCACACCTGGACAGCTATTGTTGTGCTGGCTGCTGTCATTTTTTTGTTTGACAATCTAATGGAACAGAGTTGGTGCCCTGGCTAAAGAGTGAGGCATTGCATGTGTTAAAAACTGGCTCCTGGTTGCAAAGCGCTGCACTGCATCAGCTGTTTACCCTGGGGATCGTGTGGTCAACGGGAGCTGTGGCTGGCCACCCCTGCCCAGCACCAGGAGGGAGTATCGTAGGGCATATCACTAACCTGAGAAAAGATCAAATTCAAAATTTGAAGTACAGTTTCTCCTGAAGGGGTGTCACTTTCACGCCATCATAAAGTCAAAAACATCTAAATCTAACCATCGTAAGTCAGAGACCATCTGTATATAATACCAAAGAATTACAAGAATGCTACCAAAGCTAATAAATGAATTCAGCGAGGTTGTAGGGTACAAGATCAACACACGAAAATCAGTTGTGTTTCTAAACAGCAACTGACATTCTGGAAGGGAAATTGAGGCAATTTCATTCACAATAGACTCTCAAAGAATAAATTTAACCAAGGAGAAGACTTGTACACTAAAAGCTACAAAAATTGCTGCGAAAAATTAAAGTATATCTAAATGAATGGAAATCTAGCCTGTGTTTATGGATAGGAAGACAATACACAGTGGGGCAAATGTAGGTTAACAGTCATGAGTACTCAAAACACAAGACTTTGTTCTTGTATTACTTTTCATTAGTTATTGTCTTACTTTCCATATGAACAATTGTAAACCTACTCTTGCCTCGCCCTGTATTGTTAAAATGTCAGTACTCCTCAGAGACCTCTAGATTGAAGCAGTCCCTATCAAAATCCCAACACCCTTTTTTTACTTTCTACAGAAATGAAAAAACTGATTATCAAATTTATATGGCATTGCAAGGGGACCCAAATAGCCAAAATAGTCTTGAAAAAAAAAAAAGCCATATATGGAGGACTTAGATTTCTCCATCTCAAACCTTACTACAAAGCTACAGTAATCAAAAGAGTATGACACTAACATCAAGATAGACATATAGACCAAAGGGATAGAATTGAGAGTCCACAGTTAAGCTCATTTGTCTTTGGCTGGTCGATTTTTGATGATGGTGCAAAAGAATGAAATTGGACCCCTGCCTCATACCATATACAAAAATGAATGCAAAATGGATGCATGAGCCTGGCTGCTGTGGCCTACTGCTTGAGCATCGACCTATGAATCAGGAGGCCAGGGTTCAATTCCCAGTCAGGGCACATGCCTGGGTTGCAGGCTGGATCCCCAGTGTGGGGCATGCAGGAAGCAGCCAATCAATGATTATCTCTCATCATTGATGTTTCTATCTCTCCCATTCCCTTCCTCTCTGAAATCAATAAAAATAAATATTTTTTAAATGGATGAATGACTACCCTGGCTGGTGAGCTCAGTGGTTAGAGCATCGGCCTGGCACTACAGGGTCTTGAGTTAGATTCCCAGTCAAGGGTATGTACCTGGGTTTTGATTTGCTCCCCAGTCCCAGTTGGGGCACGTGGGGCAACCAGTCAATGTCTCTCTCACATCGATGTTTCTGTCTCTAACTCTCCCTCTCCCTTCCTCCCATCCCTCTGAAAAAGCAATGGGAAAAAAAAATATCTTCAGGTGAGGATTAACGAAAAAAATTATTTTAAATGGATTGAAGACCTAAGTATGAACTACAGTAAACCCATAAAACTCTTAGAAAACATAAGGGTAAATCTTCATGACTATGCATTTGGCAATGGATTCTTAGATAGAACACCACAAACACAAGCAACAAAAGAAAAAAATAGGTAAATTAGGTTTCATCAAAACTTTTTAAAAATTTGGGTATCAAAGGAAACTATCAGGAAAATGAAAAAACAACTAATAGAATGGGAGGAAAATTTTGCAAATTAAACATCTGATAAGGCTTTAATAGTCAGAATACATAAAGAACTTCTAGAATTCAATAAAAAGAAAAACAACCCAATGCAAAAATGTGCAGAGGACTTGAATACACATATCTCCAAGAAGATATGCAAAGTTTTGAAAATATAATATGGTGATAATTGCACAACATCATGAATGTACTTAATCCCACTGAATTGTACACTTAAAATGGTTAAAGTGGCAACTTTTATGTTACACATATTTCAGCACATACATCTACATACATACAAAAAACTGACACTCCCCAGTGTTGTTGAGGCTGGGGAACAACCAAATTCTCATGGGCAACTAGTGCGACTGAAATGTTACCAGCACTTTGGAAACAGCTTGTCCGTTTCTTATAAATGTAACTGCCCACCTGCTGCGTGACCCAGCAATCCCCCACCTCGCTTTACCCATAGCAGCCAGAAAATGGAAACACCCCACTCCCTTCCTTATCACCATTGAAGCCTATTTAACAGTAAAAAAGAACAAACTATGGATACACAAGTGACATAAATGAATCTCAAAACAATCATTCTCAGTGAAAGAAACCAGGAAGAAAGAGTACATAATGTATGTTTCCATTTATAAAAAACGTTAGAAAATGTCAATCCATTCATAGTGACAGAAACAGATCCGTGGTCCCCTGAGCAGCAAAGGATGGTGGGAAGATGGTCATGGGCGACTTTTGGGATTGATGGAAATGTATCTTGAATGCAGTCATATTTCATGGGTAGACACATCTTTCAAAATGCATTGAGTTGGACACTTTATATAAATGCAGCTGTATACATAAATGATACCTCAATAAAATTGTTGTTTTTAAAAAGTAAGTTCAGCCCTGGCTGGTTTGGCTCAGTGGATAGAGCGTCGGCCTGCGAACTGAAAGGTCCCAGGTTTGATTCCGGTCAAGGGCACATGCCCGGGTTGTGGGCTCGATCCCCAGTGGGGGCCTTACAGGAGGCAGCCGATCCATGATTCTCTCTCATCATGGATGTTTCTATCTCTCTCTCCCTCTTCCTTCCTCTCTGAAACCAATGAAAATAAATTAATTAATTAATTAAAATCTAATAAAAGAGAAACATGCAAATTGACCATACCTTCACTACGCCCCAAGTCACACCCACCGGCCAATTAGAGTGACTATATGCAAATTAACCCAACCAAGATGGCGGCTGGCAGCCACGGAACTGGAGCAAGCAGGAGGCTTGGTTGCCCCGGCGATGGAGGAAGCCAAGCTTCCCGCCTGCCCTGGCCGGCTGTGGCCTCCACTAAAGGCAACAAAGTTTCAATTATAGAAGATAAATAAATCCCAGATACCTGCTTCTAGCCAGCCTCCACTTACTGGCCTGTACTATTTGATTAAATTTTTTTTTAATATTTCTTTTCTCCTTTTTATTTTATACATAACCTTTTTAAATTTCACATTTTCAAACTAGCCTTTAAACCTTCTTTCTATGTCCTTTAGAAATGCATAACTATGTTCAGACTTTCTATTTCAAACAGGCTTTTCCCAGTTTTCTACAGTTGAGGTTTTGTGCCACCTCTGACATGGGCATGGTCACACAGGCCTGCACGACAGTATACAGGCTGCCAACTGTCAGCTGTCTTTCAACAGAGACCAAAACCTGATGGGCACTCTTCCCTGCCCAGTTGGGCAGCTGCCCTCTTGGCAGCCAGACACTCTCTACTCTTGGGGTTCACCCCACACAGTCCCCTTCCAGGATAGCCAACATACATTCAAACCTGCAAGAGAATCAAAGGTCAATATAACATATCAATACAATGAAACATAATATTGGCATCATGGCCGCTTCAGGCA